GGAGCTACAATCCCATATGCCTGCCTTGTGGGCAAAAAAAACAAAACACAAAACAGAAGCAATATATAACAAATTCAATAAAGATTTTTAAAGTGGTCCACAAACACACAAAAAATTCTTAAAGAAAATGAATAAGGTCTGGGCTGAGGTTCTGGAACTTCATCCATTGGGTTTTAGAACTCATAATCTAGTATCTGGTCTTCTGAATGGGACGAACTAAGTAGGTTACAATCAGGAAACCATTTTTCTCCTTCTGCTGCCCTCAAGGACACTCTGTCAGTTCTCTCTTCCCCTCTCCTGAGAGGCACCTCAGGCAGATACCACACTCTTTTAGTCCCTTTGAGGCACTCAAAGCACAGACTCATTTCAGGCAATAAATTGTTCTGTCCTTTGAAATAAAAACTTCTTCCTTGCTCTTCCACTCTTCTAATCTCAAAGCTGTTTCTGACAGCTCCAGAGCTGAAGTAGGGGGAGGACCAATGAGACGACAAGGGGCAAAGGCCTTTGTACTTTGCTGATGCTCTTTATAGCCTTTGGCTTTGTCCTAATGCCTGCTTTTTTGTGGGAGGGGTTAGTGGGTCCTTCAGGTATCTCCACCTTACTACATACCGCCCTAATGCAGGCCACTGTGCTCTTCTCCTGACTTTCTGTTTTTAATTTTCATTGGAGTATAGTTGATTTACAATGTGTTAGTTTCTGCCCTACAGCAAAGTGAATCAGTTATCCACATACATGTTGTTCAGGCACTAAGCCCATGTGATCTCATGGACCAAAGCATCATGGGCTTCCCCGTCCTTCAGTATCTCTTAGAGTTTGTTCAAACTCATGTCCATTGAGTCATGATGCCATCCAATCATCTCATCTGCCATCACCCCCTTCTCCTGCCCTCAATCTTTCCCAGCATCAGGGTCCTTCCAATGAGTCGACTCTTTGCATTGGGTGGCTGAAGTATTGCAGCTTCAGCTTCAGCTTCAGCTTCAGCATCAGTCCTTCCACTGAATATTCAGGACTGATTTCCTTCAGGATTGACTGGTTTGGTTTCTTTGCAGTTGAAGGGACTCTCAAGAGTCTTCTCCAGCACCACAATTCAAAAGCATCAATTCTTCAACAATCAGCCTTCTGTATGGTCCAAATCTCACATCCGTATATGACTACTGGAAAAACCATAGCTTTGACTATACAAACTTCTGTTGGCAAACTGAGGTCTCTGCTCTTTATATGCTGTCTAGGTTTATCATAGCTTACCTTCCAAGGAGCAAGCGTCTTTTTAATTTCACGTATATCACTCTTTGTTTTTAGATTATTTTCCCATAAAGGACATTATAGGTATTGAATAGAGTTCCCCATTCTTATTAATTATCTATTTTATATATATAGTAATGGCAACCCCAATCTCCCAATTTATCCCTCCAATCCCTTTCCCCATTGGTAACCATAAGTTCTGTATCAGTGACCCTGTTTTGCAAGTAACTTCATTTGTATCTTTTTTTTTTTAGATTCTACATATAAGCAATATCATATGGTATTTGTCTTTCTCTGTCTGACTTCATTTAGCCTGATCATCTCTAGGTCCATCCCGGCTGCTGCAAATGGCACTATTTCATTCTTTTTATGGCTGGGTAATATTCCATTATACATAAATACTACATCTTCTTTATCCATTCACCTCTCAATGGACGTTTAGGTTGCTTCCATGTCTTGGCTATTGTAAACAGTGCTGTTATGATCATCAGGGTGCATGTATCTTTTTGAATTAGAGTTTTCTCTGGATATATACCCAGGACTGGGATTGGTGGATCATATGGTAGTTCTTTCCAGGTGGCTCAGTGGTAAATAATCTGCCTGCCAAGTGGGAGATGTGGGTTCAATCCCTGGGTCAGAAAGATTCCCTGGAGAAGGAAATGGCAACCCACTTCAGTATTCTTGCCTGGGAAATCCCTTGGAGAGAGGAGCCTGGCAGGCTACAGTCCATGGGGTCACAAAAGAATTGAATAGGACTTAGCAACTAAACAATGGTAGTTGTAATTTTCTAAACCACCCTATTATTCTCCATATGGTTGTACCAATTTACATTCCCACCAACAGTACAGGAGGGTTCCCTTTTCTCTATACCCTCTCTAGCATTTATTGTTTGTAGACTTTTTGATGATGGCCATTCTAACCAGTGTGAAGTCATACCTCATTGTAGTTTTGATTTACATTTCTGCTGACTTATTGCTACAGCTCCAGCCTCTCCGTTGGAATTCTTCCTTCCTTCATAGGTGAGGTCTCTTTAGATGCTCAGCTACCCTCCAGAGTCTAACTGCCCCGCAGCTGATGAAAGTACGGCTACTCCAACTGCTGGTCTCTTGTGCTCATTCAGCCATCAAGGACTGCTCCAGGTAGGAGGCAGATGGCAGTCCTCTTGATCTCTCAATTCCAGGTAACATGTCAGGCTCAATTCATGCCACCTTGGTGGCAGCTGGAGTTGGCTGGCATGTTTCTACTCTTCACTAGGCTGAACTATAAGCTCCCAACTCCCGGCACCAGTCACCAGAATTCTCTCCAGGAGGTTCACCTGAAGGGCCTCTTACTTAGTTTCCTGTGAATGCCTTTGGAACAGTCTTTTCCTCTGACACTCACACCACTGCCCCATCACCTTCTCTTAGATAGCATGAGGTGGGTAATGGAGTTGAAGGTCCAAGATCATTTTGGCCACCTCCTAAGAAGTGTTGCATTAGATCGTGGCAATATTTATCACTCCCTATTTTTCACTCTGAGGCTTTAGACAAAATTGCCAGGCACAGATGAAGTCCTACTTCATATCCAGTTAAACCGGTCAACCTCACCCCCTGCTCTAGTTTAATATCAAGAATTTGAAGATGCATTAAGAAATCAGACAGAGAAAGACAAGTATGATATCACTTATATGTGGAAGCTAAAAAACAAACAAGTGAATCTGACAGAGACTCACAGACTTAGAGAACAAACTAGTGGTGAGTGGTAAGGAGAGGGAAAGGGAAGGGGTAGAATGGGGGAGGGAATTAAGAAGTATAAACTACAATGGATAAAATAAATAAGCTACAAGGATACGTTACAAGACAGGGAATATAGCCAGTAGCTTATGATAACTAAAACTGGAGTAGAGTATACATTTAAAAATTGTAAATCACTATGTTGTACACTTGAAACTTACATAATGTACATTAACTATGCACGCTAAATCACTTCGATTGTGTCCAGCTCTTTGTGACTCTATGGACTGTAGCCCACCAGGTTCCTCTGTCCATGGGTATTCTCCAGGCAAGAATACTGGAGTGGGTTGCTATGCCCTCCTTCAGGGGATCTTCCCAACCCAGGGACCAAACCCACATCTCTTACGTCTCCTGCATTGATAGGCAGGTTTTTTTTTTTTTTTACCACTAGTGCCACCTGGGAAGCCTACATTAACTATACCTCCAAAAAAAAAAAAAAAGAGTTAAAGAAAAAAGAATATGAAGATACAGAACATTCAGGAGATGTCTAGGAGACAGATAAAAAATGTCACAGCACTCTGCTTCTCATATTGGAGGATATGGATAGACAAACACTAGAAGTCGTAGCATACCCACCTTGAACATCAATTTTCATATTAAAACACACACAGATCTGTCATGAAGTAAAATGCAAAATTTTGGAGGGGGTAAAAAACAGAACCTTTTAAATAAATTTAGTTCACCATCAGCCACTTTATCTACAGATTCTAGGGATGGTACATGGAAACACTTGAGAACTTTTTGAGAGAAGTATTTTGGGGATAGTTGAATCCTTATAAAATGGGTGCTACCCTTCTGGAAGTTGTCAGGAATACTCTTGAGGCAAATGGAGAAACACTGTAGAGAAATTAGGTCACCTTGACTGCTCCATAAACCAGCTGAGAGAAACTTTCTAAGCCTTCTTTTTAATACTAAGATTGAAGAGAGAAGAGGGGGAATCTAACAGGACTTCTGGTTACTCTTGAAAAAGCAGGTCTGGATCTCTAGATCACGAGCAAATACCAACAGACTTTTCGTTTGAGTATGATTTTCTGTGTTTGTTCTTTTGAAGATTGCCTGAGCTATGTTTGTTGTTTTTGTCTGCCCAACAGCAAAACAAAAACAAAACACCTTGAAAATAATTGGGTAATTTGTAGTGACGTGGATGGACTTAGAGTCTGTCATACAGAGTGATGTAAGTCAGAAAGAAAAAATCAAACATATATATATATGGAATCTAGAAAAATGGTACAGATGAACCTATTTGCTGGCAGGAGTAGAGATGGAGAAGTAGAGAACAAACTTTTGGACAAACCAAGGGAAAGAGGGTGGAACGAACTGAGCAGTACTGACACATATACACACTACCATGCGTAAAATACCTGGTGGGAGGACAGCTCCACAACACAGGGAGCTCCGTGCTCTGTGATGACCTGGAGGCCTAGGATAGGGGTGGGGGTGGGAAGGAGGCTCAAGAGGAAAGGAATATATGTTTACTTATAGCTGATTCACACTGTTGTACCTCAGAAACTAACATAACACTGTAAAGCCATTATACACCAATTATAAAACAAAACAAACAAAAACACCTTGAAAACAAAAGTATCAAGTGCCTCTAAGGAGCAAGGAAGAAGAGAGCCATGAAAACTGGCCTACTCACTCCATCACAGCCCTCGGAAGACTCAGTAGATGGGGTAGATTTGAAGGAGAAAAGAGAAACAGGCAGACCCTAAAGAGGATGGCTGCGGCCTAGGCGAAACCCTTAGGGGCTTAAAGAACGGAAGACTTCATGGTTCCTTAGCACAAAACAAAACATAATATAACAGCCTCCAGCGATTTACGACCTCTGTTGAACAATCTGACTGCACTGATAGAGAACATCTCATCACTAAATTTAACTTCCAATTCCCCCAAGAATTCATAGTCTTATGATGTACCTGCTTTTCCTTCCAATGCTATTCAGTAATGTGAATCAAGTTGCATGTGCTATTTTAATATGATGCCTACCTTTCTTAAGAATCTTCTTCACTTTCACATAATTCCCCTGTTTGACATACTCATGAAGCTGTGCTTCCAAGGAGTCATTTCTTAACGAACCAAGCTGAACAGGACAGGGGACTGGAAGGTGAACAGCCCGAGACATCCTGTTTCAAAAGAAAGCAACATACTTATTTCTAACTGAACCAGAAATTCAAGGAAAAAGGTTCGATTCTTTCACATTTCTTTCACTTCTTGTCCATTTTCATTTATAATGAATAGGATTGGGGGACAATTATGGAAATTCTCCAAGATTAGGGATTTCTCTGACAGTCCAGCAGTTAAGACCCCAAGCTCCTGAAGCAGGGGATCTGGGTTTGATCTCTGGTCAAGGAACTAAAATCCTGCATACCTAGAGGCATGGCCAAAATTAAATAAATAAAAATAAATTCTGAAAGATTAAATTTTATTCTCAATGTTACTGTTAAAATTGAAGAACTCAGTATTTTTGTCAATCCCTGGAAGTGAAAAAGTGATGACTACCAGGAAGTAGGATTAGAAATACACATTTGTTGCATCATCAAGACCATTTGGAGAGTATTAACTTGTGAGTGTGTGCTTTGTTTTGTTTTGTTTTGGCCTTGAGGTTTATGGGATCCTACTTCCGGGACCACGGATTGAACTCGAACTCTTGGCAGTGAAAGTGGGAAGTCCTAACTGCTGGGCTACTGGGGAATTCCCAGGAGGGCATTCACTTTGAAAAGTTAGGGGACTTCCTTGGGGGTCAAGTGGCTAAGACTTGGCACTCCCAACGCAGGGTGCCCAGGTTTGATCCCTGGTAGGAGAACTAGATCTCACATGCCAAGACCAGAAGATGCCTCGTGTTGCAACGAAGACCCAGTGCAGCCAAAATAAATACAAATAAATATTTAAAAAATTCTGCACCACAATAACTCTTGTCCAAAAAAGAACAAACAGTATACAAATGCAGTCATTTATGTAGAGGGTAGACAATATGTGGGTTGGGTTCATAGTTCAGACTCTACAGTTCTCAACCTGCCTGTGTCACTTCCCTGTGTGACCTTGAAGAAATTAACCTTTGATGGGCCTCAATTTCCTCATCTATAAATGGGAGTACTCTGTAAAGTGCTTAGAACTCTGTCTGGAACCAAGGAACTCTCTATAGTTGTAAGCTGCTGTTACGCGCACTAGAACCTATGAACACTAGAATGGTGACTGCACCATTTCACATTACCACCAGCGGTGGAAAACGGTCCCAATTTTTCCAGATCTTCCAATACTTAATTCTTGTTTTCGCTCTTTAAATAATAGTCATTTTAGAACGTCCCTGATGGTCCAGTGGTCGAGAATCCACCTATCAATGCACAGAACCTGGGTTGGATCCCTGGTCTGGGAAGATCCCACATGCTTTGGGGCAACTAGGTCCCTGGGCAACAACTACTGAGCCCACGCTCTAAGAGGAGAAACCCGCCCACTGCAACAAAGTGGCCCCCATTTCCCCAACCAGAGAAAAACCTCTAGCAGTAACTAAGACCCAGTGCTGGCAAAAATAAATAAGTAAAGTGATTTTAACGTTGATCTTTAGAATTTTTTTATTTAATTGCATTTACACCAATTCATGACATTTTGACATAAAATATTCAAATCTCCAGACCTGCTTATTCCATACGTTTCCTAATAAGCGTCGACTGTTAATCATGTATATGCTAACTTCCACTTTCTGCGTACTTTTCAGCTTACTTCCTTTTAGAATTCTTTTCCAGTCACCCTCAGAGATTTCTTTAAAAAAAAAAAAAACCACTGTGGAGTAATTGCGTTTAAAACGGTTCTAAAGCACATTACCAGCCAGCTCCTGCCAGTATTTAATCTGTAATTCCCCCTGAAAGTTCCAGCTGAACGAACACTTCAGTACTGTAAATTTGGCCGATTAACCCAGTAATTAGACGCATTTCGAGTTGCCCTGGTGGCTCAGATGGAAAGAATCCGCCCGAGACGCAGGTATACCCTGGTTGGATTCTTGGATTAGAAAGGCCCGTTGGAGATAGACTACTCCAATATTCTTTGGCTTCCTTAATTAGCTCAGCTGGTAAAGAACCCACCTGCAATACAGAACATCCGCATTCAACAGACCCTCTGGAAAAGATTAAATACTACCCACTTCAATATTCTCACCTGAAGAATTCCAATAACTGTAAAAATGTGTGGGAGTCAAGAACAGTCAAAAACGACTGAATCTCGAACTCTTCCCAAACACATCCATCCTCTCATAAAATACTCACAAGCAGACAAGTATCATAACCCTCCTTATGCTGACTCATAACACCTACAGGTAAGCCATACAATCTTTCTTTTAAACGGACTTTGTCAGGGGAAAGCGCGAACGCAGTCCCCCACTACCACAAATTATGCAGTCGAGTTTCCCACATTTGGGGAAATCGCAGGGGTCAGCACATCCGGAGTGCAATGGATAAGCCTCGCCCTGGGAAAACCACCTTCGTGATCATGGTATCTCCCCTGCCAGGTAAGTATGAGTTGCTGGCCCTGCCTGCCACCTCAGCCTCACATTCCAAACACTTCGCACTTATGGTCACTCTCTTCACCGCAGACTCTACACCCTCACTTACGAAACAATGGCTTCTCCCAACTAGAAGGGCCTGACAAGCACATTGCGAGTACCGCAACATTTGCAAAATAATACAAACGCTTCATAGTACATTCTGAACAGGGCCAGCCGACGCCGAGCTCATTTACATACTCCGCGCACCTTAGTGACGTCACTCCGTAGCGCCGACGGTACCCGGGTCTCGTGATAGGCTGACGGACAGCGAGGAGGCGCTCGGGGCCTAATCCCCGGGGCCGGGAATGTGACCCACCTTTGTGACAGAACAGATTGTAGGGATGTGATTAGCTTTGAGACTGGGTGGGGCGGGGATAGTCCGAATTATCCAGGTGCGCCTAATGTAATCAACGGCCCTTATAAAGAGGAAGCAGGCGGCAGGCGGCAGTTAAGAACGCAGCTGTGGTGGCGGCGGCAGCAACATCGACGACGGTGACACAGTCCGAGGAAACATTAGATGGCTGACTTTTTTGAAAGGGCTGCCTGTCTACAACAAAAGCAATTTTAGTAGCTTCCATGCCAACTGTCTGTGCAAAGCCTCGAACCGACGTCCGCCAGTCTACCTGCCCACTCAGGAGTACCCGTCTGAACAGATAATTGTGACAGAAAAAACAAACATTCTTTTGCGCTACCTACAACAGCAACGGGACAAAAAGAATGCCGCCAAGAATAAAGACCAGGAGCAAGTGAACCTCGAGGCCGAGAGCTGGGCGTCCCCGTGCAAGATCCCACGGATCTACAGCCAGGACTGGGACGACTGGGACGAGGACCCTTGAGACTCACGGCCCCACTCAGACGCCTCCTGCGCTGTCTGCTCCTCGCCTGCCCGCCGACCTGCCCACGCCCCACCGTTCACACCATTTCCAATATGATAAAGCCAATGTATTTATTTTCCTTGTGTTTTTATTGATGCTGTAAACTTACCAACTTATGATTAAAGGGATGTCAGACCCACTACTGTGATGTTGGTAGGTGTATTTGTTTGTTTTTTAAACAAACAAAAAAATTGTTATTCGCTGCCTCCTCCTTCAGTTCCCCTCCTCTTGCCCCCTAGTCCTCCTCTGGAAAACTGGAGCCTCTCTCCGAGGGTCTAGATTTGGGGCCCTGCTGCAGCTGGTCCTCATGGGTGGGGGCTCTTATCTTGGTTCCCATCTGCTGGTCCGGGTCTTAAACACTTCGCCTTGTCACAAGTTCCGCGGGGACTTACTCTGCCCAGACCTTGCTCCTTGCTCTGGGAGAAGTCAGCGCTTCCGAATCTTATTGTTCAGTCGCTAAGGCACTGACTCCATGGACTACAGCATGCCAAGCTTCCCTGTCCTTCACTATCTCCCAGAAATTGCTCAAACTCAGGTCCATTGAGTTGGTGATGTCATCCAACCATCTCATCCTCTTTCGTCCCCTTCTCCCACCTTCAATCTTTCCCAGCATCAGGGTCTTTTCTAATGAGTCAGCTCTTTGCATCAGGTGGCCAAAGGACTGGAGCTTCAGCTTCAGCACCAGTCCTTCCAATGAATACTCAGAGTTGATTTCCTTTAGTATCCACTGGTTTGATCTCTTTGCTGTCCAAGGGGACTCTCAAGAGTCTTCTCCAGTCCAAAATCATCAATTTTTCGGCGCTCAGCTTTCTTTACGGTCCAATTCTCACATCCATACATGACTATTGGAAAACCCATAGCTTTGACTGTACAGAACTTTTGTCAGCAAAGTGATGCCTCTGCTTTTAAATATGCTGTATAGGTTTGTCACAGCTTTACTTCCAAGGAGTGTGTCTTTCAATTTCGTGGCTGAGTCTTTTCATTCCTTCTGGAGCTATTTCTCCACTCTTCTTCAGTAGCATATTGGGCACCTACCGACCTGGGGAGTTCATCTTTCAGTGTCATATCTTTTTGCCTTTTCATACTGTTCATGGGGTTCTCAAGGCAAGAAGGCTGAAGGAGTTTGCCATTCCCTTCCCCAGTGGACGTTTTGTCATAACTCTCCACGACCTGGCCTTGTGTGGCCCTCCAGGGAATGGCTCATAGCTTCATAGTTTTACACAAGACTGTGATCCATGTGATCATTTTGATCATTATAGTTAAGTATCATCTCTGTATCTTGAAGATCTAAGTATTTTTATCAGGGACTAGTTTGGTGCACCACTTCCAACCCAATAAAAGGAGATTTCTCACCTGGAAGAAAAAAGAAAGCAGTGGATGGAAGGCTGATGTCAGCAGATGAAAAATTACTGGTTTTGAAAACACAGAAAGGGGACCATAGGGCCAAAAAGTATAGAAATAACCTACAGTTTTTCCCACAGAAAAAAGAAAACAGTCCATTTCATTCTTAGAGTAGTGAAAGTTTACTCTTAAACCATTTTAAAAAAACTCATTCAGTTGTGTTTGACTCTGTGACCCCATGAGCTGTACAGTCGATGGAATTCTCCAGGTCAGAATACGGGAGTGGGTAGCCTTTTCCCTTCTCCAGGGGATCTTTCCAGTCCGGGAATCGAACCCAGTTCTCCAGC